ATAGCTTTACAACACGTGAATCTCCTTTCCTTCGGATATATGCCTTGTGGAGGCAATTCTGGCTCATGTAGCAGTTCTACTTTTAGTTTCCTAAGGAATCCCCATACTGTTTTTAAAATGTGATTTCTCATCACGATATAAGGCCAACTAACTGAACTGAATTTCTCTACTTTCAGAAACATCTTTAGAGACTAAACAAATGACATAAGTGTTGCTTGGCTTGAAATTCACTGTGGCCAGCAGTCCTTCCACGTGGCCTGACACGTTGGCATGCTACAGGAGGGGTTGCACTTACCATGTACACAGGAACGTGGTATACGCGGAGGCACATGGAGGCAATAGAACAGGTATAGAAAAAGCACAGGCCCTTTCAAGCTCAAGAAACACAAACGGTAGAGAGCTGTGCTATGACTTCATAGCAAGGACTCGCTCTTCCCTACTTGCTTCCTGAGCAATCATCTGAATTCTGAGGTCACATCGTATTATATTCTATCTTCCTCAACTAGCACTTTTATTATTTTATTTATTTATTTTATTTAACTTAATTTATGTACTTACTTCAATTTGACCAGAGAGGGACAGAGAGAGAGAGAGAGAGAGAGAGAGAGAGAGAAAGTGAGAAAGCAAGCTGCCAGATCTGGGACTCAAACCACAATCTGCCATCTGGGAATCCACTGCCCTTAAGCACCATGCCACCTGCCAGCTGCCCTAACAACCTTTATTTGCTAAACGAAAACATCATTATCTCAGAAGCAGGTACACAGTTGCATAGAAAAAATAGTCATATCAATCCCTATTATTAATCACGTGCCTTCTCTTCATACGAGCTGGAGCTATAATAAAAAAAAAAATGCTTTTATAGAAACATGTGTGCCTCCATGGAAAAATTATTGGGCACATTACAGTCTTCTTTGAGAAATGCAGATCAACTATAATTGCATGTGGCACTTCTGAAACAATACAGTGTTATTCCAACTAACCATTTCCTCTACAAATATGGCAGATGGATTGGCAACACCAGCTTGTTTTATTTCAGCATGTTGATGGAAAATAATATTTTTTCTTACTTCCCAATATAGTAATTCATTAACATTTCTCTTCAATGGAAACAGAGTATGTTGTAACATAAAAATAGCAATAAAATAAGGCCACATACGATTAGATCTATATGTTCACACTTTCCCAATATGGTTAAACAGATTTGTTTTTTTAAAAAAAACTAGTAGGAGATTTGTTTTTTTAAAAAAAAAAAAAAAAAAAAAAAAAAAACTAGTAGGACTCTTATTAGCCAAAATCTTTTCATTTAGGTAAGGCATATGTCTTAGTGCTATTGTTTGGAAATTTCATGCTATATTTTATTTTGTATTTTATAATCTCTGCACTATTTACATTTTTTAGTGGAACAGATCCCCAGTTATCAAAAGTATTTAGCATTGTTTATTTATCAAAACAGAAAGTTAGAAATGACTTTGTTGCATCTAAATTCTTTGTAAGTTTTTAAAAGTTGGAATATCTGGAATAGTTGAGGTAGAGAAAATAAGGAATAATTATAGAACGGTCATCTGTCATTGGTTCATTTACATAAAGATAACAACTAAAATATATTCAGGTTTTTTAAAAATTTCATTATGCCCTTTAGTGAATTATTTTAAAATCTAAATTGTCTAAAATTCTTTTTTCTATTGTTATATGGGAAGTTGAGTAATATTTCATTTATAAATACTTTGGTCCTGAAAGTCTTTTGATGAATTATAAATTGCCTTTCCTTTTCTTTCTTCACATTCTTTGCTGAATTTGTGACTCTATTTTGCATGTTTCTAAATTGCATTGTAAATTAGAAAATACACATCTGCTCAAACTGAAGGTTCCATTTCAATTGGCTCAACTGTCCAGAGCAGCTGTGATTTTGGAGGGTTCACATAAACCTCTGGTCACGGCCCTCACCCACGTGAGCTTTCTACTGAGATGAAATCACCAGGAAGTACACATGATTCAGAACACTTGCTAGAAGCCAAAAGATTTGTGGTAAGACATAAAAAAAGTTTCTTACTTCTTAATGTTTATTGGGATGAAAACAATTATGTATTTCATACTTTTAGTTGAGAGTCATGAAGACTGCTCAGAAGTAGGCACACAAACTTGCTTTTCACATTAATTAGTTACGTAGAAATTGAAACTTACTTGAAAGGATGGTAGTAGGGCCTATACTCTGTCCTGCCAAGATTCATATTTAGTAGCCCTAATCCCTATCGTGACTGTTGTTAAAGGTGGAGCCTCTAAGAAGGCAATGAAGGTTTGATGGGTCATAGGCTGGTGTCCTAACAAGAGGAACAGACTCCAGTTCTCCTCTCTGCTCTTGCAGGGGAAAGACCACGTGCGGTAACAGCAAGAAAGCGCCATCTACAGGCCAAGGAGAGAGACCTCCCCAGAAACCAACCCCGATGGCAACTTCTTGGATTTCCAGCTTCCAGAACTGCGAGAAAATAAATGTCTTCTGTTAAACCACCCAGTCTGTGGTATTCAGTTACAACAATCTGAGCAGACTATGCAATTGGTTACCTTATTACTCTGATAAAGGATACCCATACTTCATCTCAGCTAGTCCTATCACAAAAGCACTGTTATTATAATACAGGTTTATGAACTTAATCTTTACAAATTTCATCGACTTCATAGAATATAAAAATTCTCACCATACTATAGGTGCCTTTCAAACCTTTTGACTGTGAATATTAGTGTGTATGTATATATGTATATAATATATAATATGTTTAGAATGTTACATATATGTATGTGTGTGTTACAAATCAATGCCTTTCCTAATTATTGATATGATGTATACTCTGTTCAAGTATTTTTAAAAGAATTTTCTTAATTTAATTTATTCATTATTTTAATTTGACCAGAAAGAGACAGAGAGAGAAAGTGAGAAAGCAGGCCACCTGGTCTGGGACTCAAACCATGATCAGCCATGTGGGAGTATCCATTGCCTCAATCAACATGCCACATGCTTGACCCCATTCAACTATTTTTTTTAAGAATTATTTTATTTAACTTTATTAATTATTATTATCATTATTATTTTCCAGTTTGATCAGAGAGAGACAGAGAGAGAGAGAGAGGAAGTAAGAAAGCAAACCACCAGGTTCAAGACTTGAATCGTGGTCAGCCATGTTGGAGTCCAGCGTCTTTAACCACCATGCCACTTGCCAGCCCCTCAACTGTTTTTTATTTAAGAAATAAAGCTCATGTGTGTGAGTGTGTGTAAACCTTTCTGAAAGCAAATTTATAGATGGATGTTTGAACAGTGCTTTCTTTTTTATCTATGTTACCCCAAATTTTCCTACTTGCAATTTCTTTTTTCCCTTAGAATCACAAGATTCTCAAAAGTACACATGATACTCCCATCTTTCTTTCTCTCTCTCTTACACACACACACACACACACACACACACACACACACAGTGAGCTTGATTTGATTGAGGCAAATCCACTGGTGTCCTGTCAAAGCAGGACTTTTCACACAACTTAGATTGTCAAGCGCATTGTCTTATGATTTATTTACAAGAAAAAGATTTTGGCTTTATGGTGCAATTAAGATACAGATTAATACATACAGACCAAATATGTGAATTCCCAACTGGGAAATATGGTATCCATGAAAGGAAATGTTTGATCACTTATACTCTTGTTCATTCTCATGGGCAACATGGCCATCAATACAAAATCAAATGACTTGACAATTTTCAAAGAAAACGTGTAGAGATAAGTTAGTTTTATCACCTCTTATCCTATTTCTTTTGGGTGAATGTTTAAAGACTGTGCTTAATGTAATAATAAAAGATTTTGACACTGATATTTCTTGACAGATAATGAAAGGGAGGAGATAATTGAAGGAAGAAAATGAGTACTATAGGAGCAAGTTTTACAGATTTGTTATTCTATGAAACAATTAGCAAAGACCAAGAAGCAAAAAATGCACAATCCATAAAAAAACACTATACTGTCATATTCAACTAATTGCCTTTCTGGAAACATAAATATCAAATCAAAATTAAATTCACAAACAACAAAATTTCAAAATTGATATTTGATCTTCTAATTTTTCAGAGTCTCATGGGTCAACATTCAAATGTTCATTTTTATATATCTAGCTGTACAAAATAGATAAAAGGACACCTTTTTAAACAGGTGGGATCTGTACACAGGGGAAATGGCCATAATGCAAACAGCTTTGTACTACTGTGTGTGTGTGTGTGTGTATATGCATTAGCACACATTCATATGGATCAAGAAAAAAGGAAATAACTGAATAAAGCAATTCAGCATTATGTAAGTCACTCACTATTTCATGCTAAAGATACCATGGTACAGTTATTTTCTATTATATTTTTCTCTACAGAATAAAATTAACTCCACACTCTTGGAAAAGAGATAGAAAACAAAAGAAAAATTAATATAATGGTAGGTAAGACAAGTGTGGTTACCAGATACTATGGGAAGAGGAACTCAGCGGTGGGTGGCTGGAAGGGGCTTAGGGAGGACATGACTTAGCAGACATAAGAATGTAAAGTTCTCCAACAGAAAAGATATATATATGGTAATATCTTTGATTTGATGGTAATACAATGCATGTTTTGAAAAACTCTTTGGTGTGCTATGGAGAGGTTCAGCAATTAAATGTGAGAAAAAATTTTTCTAAAGAAATAATAAAGAAAAATAATTAATTACCTCTTTTTTTATGGTACAAATTACTCTTGGTTCCTAGAAAGCACCTGGCATATAAACAGTGTTTAGTACACATTTTTAAGTGAATGAATTATAACTTCATATGATATATTTTACTATAACCTTATAGAGCAATTTCACACCAAACAGAAATGAACATTACACATTTAAAATAATGTTTAAATGTTTAAAATATTTTAAAACATAAAAAGGAAATATTTAAATAAATTTTACTAAATTAAATAGAAGTGTTTGCACACATTAATTCTCACCTCTTCCTTGGTCTTTTTAGATATCACTCGGAGCCAATCTCCAATCATGCTCAGGACAGCAGCAAAGTAAGCGAGCCCGACAAGGATCCAGAACCACACCACAGGCTTGTAGAAGTCTAGATATTCGATATCCGATCCACCTAGGAGAGACAAACAAAAGCGAACAAAGTGACTTCATATTTAATAAAGTAAACAATCTAGATATTTGCTAAAATTATCAAGAGAATTTTGTCTTGCAAAACATATAAATCTAATATCCTTATTCATTGACCCATGCTATTTTCTTATTAAATTTCTCATTTTCCCTCATGTAATTTTCATCTGTTTTTAAGAATAAGTTAACTAAAATCTTAATGAGACCTCTCGTTACTTCTCTAAGTCATAAGGATTTTTCATTGCCCCGTTTCTTTTTCATACGTTGTAATCAGTCTCAATTTGTCCAACTCTTAATTAGTTCGTGTGTACTAAGACTTCCTTTCCATCTCTATTGCAACTAGTAGAAGGTTGAGACTGCACTTTTTTGGTATGCATTTAAGCTAGTATATTTAGCATATTTACCTTATTGCTAATACATACATGCTACCCAAGTCAATTTAAGGCCAAACTAAACAGAAAGTGGAGAACTCTAGTGATGATTCTTGTTTTAAAGTCATCAGTATTACAGATTGCTATCAAATATAAGAAACAATGCATTGATAGATCTAATATGAACACATATTGTCACAATTTGCATGTAATGCCACTATTATTATTTTCTGACCCTTCAGAGGAGTTCCCATGTTTGTTGTATATTACAATGCCAGGCTCTTGAGAAAAAAAATGGCAGAGGAGCTCTTTTTCTTTAATCCTTGAGGCGCTTTCCATCTAGTACAATAACTGCAGCTCTGAAAAGTCTGGGTACATTTTAACACATCCTTTATTCAGCACAAATTAATGAGGGTTCTTTTTTTTTTTTTTGGAGAGGTTTTTGCTATAGGGTGCGTGCGCTCGCCAGACAGACAGAGACATAGAGACAGAAAGTGAGAAATCACTCCCCAGGGGGGATGGTCACGCCGCAATCCCTTCTTCTCCATTCTCCTCTCAGGATCTTGGGCACATATGCACATGTACCTGGCAAGAGTTTAAGCCACCTGGTCCGGGACTCAAACCATGGTCGACTACATGGGAGTTTAGCAACATAGCCATTACACCAACTGCTTGTCCCAATGAGAGTTCTTATTAAATCCCAAAAACTGAAACTCTTACCAATTTTCACAAAGAAGAAAATAAGTCCCTTTCTTGAGAAATTCCCAAGTTAGTCTAAGGAAGCCTCACATGGACAATGAACTATAATAGGGTATATGGAGTGATAGCAAAAAAAGGATGAAAAAGGGAGGATACAGAAGAAATGACTTTTACTTCTGCAAGGAGAGTTGAGCAAGGAAAAGGTGAGTCCTAAGAAGTGAGGATCAAAATATGAAATAGTTTCCTGTAAAAATACACAGTATATTCAAAGGACCTTTGGTAGTGGGTAAAGCGCCAGGCTCCACATGGATGGGAAGTAGACAGCTAGAAAAGAGGGATCTAGAAAAGGCACAATAACTCCCCATACACACACACACACACACACACACACACACACACACACTCATGGTTTCAGCTACCTGCAGTCAATGAAGGTCCAAAAATAGGTGAGTTTAATACAATAACTTATTTTGAGAGAAAGAAATCACTTTCACATAACTTTTATCACAGCATATTGTTAAAATTCTCTTATTTTGGGGCCAGCAGATGGCACAGTGATTATGTCGCTGGACTCCTGCAAGGCCAATCATGGTTTGAGTTCTGGACTAGTAGCTTAAAACTCTTGGCAGATGCTTGTGTGTGTATGCCCAAGATCTCAGAAGGAGAATGGAGGAGAGGAGATTGTGGCATGGCCATCTCCCCAGGAAATGATTTCCCACTTTCCTTCTCACTGTCTCTGTCTCTCTCTCCAGCCAGCACATGCCCTAAAGCAAAAAAAAAAAAAAAAAGATTCTACAGATAGAGTTATGTACAGGGATTACAGTACTGGGATTACAGGAGATCTTGGAATTTATCCTTTGGATAAAGGGGAATTATCGCAAGTTACATCAGATTGTAAACTTGACCTGAACTCATTGTGGAGTAGGTAAAAATTTAGAGTGAGGCTAGTCCTGTATTTGTGTTTGATTATATGCTCAAAAAAATCTAGTGGCAGAGAAGGAAGGATTGATAGTAAAAGTCCATGAAGGTTCTGAACTAGCTAAGAAGTTTCTAGGCTTCTAGGAAACCTTGGTTCACAAATCCAGGACCTTCCAGGTGGCCTCAGCATTGTGGAGTATTGAGTTGCCACTGTGCCACTGCAGCTAGCCAAGGGACAAATGACAATTTAAAATATACAGTCACAGAGGTCAGCAGGTGGCATGGTGGTTAAGGGCTGGATACCACATGGCTGACTCTATGGTTTGAATCCTGGGTCCAGATGCTTGAAAAACACACCAAGCACGTGTGCATGTGTACTCAAAACCCAGAAAGGAGACTGGAAGAGGGGGCTGTGACATATCCATCCCCCCCCCCAGGGGGTGATTTATCTTTCTTTCTCTCTTTCCTCCCCCTCTCTGTCTGTCTCTGTCTCTCTGGCAAGTGCAAGTGCCCTATGGCAAAATTTAATAATAATAATAAGAAGAAGAAGAATAAAGAATAATATAGTTACAGTTATTACCTCCTGAAAAGGCCATCACTCTTGGGGAGTAATTCTTTCTCCCCCTCTCTGTCTGTCTCTGTCTCTCTGGCAAGTGCAAGTGCCCTATGGCAAAATTTAATAATAATAATAATAAAGAATAATATAGTTACAATTATTACCTTCAATATAATGTAAAAATTTTACATTGTTCAGTATTTTTAAAACTCATTTCTGGGAACTACTACAGGGGCTAAATGTACCTCATGATGGTTAAGACTTGGCCCACTGAGAATGCAGCGATACAGATTCACAGAACTGAATTAAGAAATGCATATGGAAACCTATCATATGAGAAGGTCACCAGCAAACTCTACCTTTCAAACATTTCCAGAAACTAAAATGACATTATATTCCAAATGCTTTCTCTTTCAAAACCAAAAAAATCTTCATCCAAATAGTTGTGACTCAACACAAAAATCCACTAAGATGTTGATTTTAGAATTAGTTCATGCTCAAAATGACTTTTTATAAGTTTTCTTTCTCATAAACAGGATGTCACAGTTTGAAAAGAGTAAATTAAGTTAATCACTAAAAGGTCTATATTTGGGTAAAATGTCCTACCCACATGTTTTAGTAAATTTTAAGCTCCAGGAAAAAAAAAAATGAAAGTCTTCCTTTGGTTAATTGATCTTCTTAAAATGAAATAGCAGCAGTCAGATGACTTAGGAAAAACTAATTTATATAATGAGTATTATCAAACAATTCACAAACTGTTCACTTTCTGATATCTAAGATTTATAAATTAATTTTCACATTAACTAGTTCACTTGATCCAAGAATCTTATCCAAATTAAAACATTTGTACTATTCAGATAACTTGCTAAAAAGAGTTTTATTTTTAAATTAGGGAGTATTTTTGAAAATTCCTGACTGTTACAAGCATTAATTTCAATTTAGCTACACTCAGGAAACTTATATGAGTGTGTTTCTTGCATACTAGGAAACTAGAGTAATTTCTCTGTCCTGGATTGACTTCCTATTCTTCCGCCACCCACCTCGCCACCATTCTGATTTCTTCCCTATCCACAGACTCTGAAACAAAGCCTTCAGGGTGCTTACAACCCATTCTACCCCCTTCCCCCTAAGTTCCCCACCAACCTGGCAGTCACTCCACTGCTTGTTTTCTTTGTTGCCACTGAGAACATGCATGTCCTTTCCATTTTAAGAGCTTTCTGGCTAAACTTTATAGGAGAATGTACAGATGGTAATAAAAATAGAAAAGGAGCTGGAGGTACAAAGGTTTTAGGAATCTTAAAGACTTTCCTAAATAGTTTAAGTCAATCTAACATTACTGACTTTCTTATATGACATGTGGTAGCCTCTTTTAGATAGTATTATCTCTCTGGGTCTCTTCTCCTTGATGTTTCTATATAGAACTCAGGCAGGACCAATCTAATCTAGCGACCAAACTAACAAAAATATTAGTAGCTCAGGATACTCTTAGCTTGGCATTATTGCTAGGAACTTGTTTGTCCAAAAGTGGGTTTCCTGAACATTTGCAGGGAAGACTCCCTCACCCAGCATTAAGAAAACCTTTCCTGGGAACCAGCAGTTAGCGGCCCACTGGAGGGTGATTTATCACTTTCTCTCTCTGGTCATTACAGTGCCCTATGGCAAAAACCTCAAAAAAAAAAGAAAGAAAGAAAGAAAGAAAAGAAAAGAAAAGAAAAGAAAAGAAAAGAAAAGAAAAGAAAAGAAAAGAAAAGAAAAGAAAAGAAAAGAAAAGAAAAGAAAAGAAAAGAAAAGAAAAGAAAAGAAAAGAAAAGAAAAGAAAAGAAAAGAAAAGAAAAGAAAAGAAAAGAAAAGAAAAGAAAAGAAAAGAAAAGAGAAAAGAAAAGAAAAGAAAAGAAAAGAAAAGAGAAAAGAAAAGAAAAGAAAAGAAAAGAAAAAAAAAGAAAAGAAAAGAAAAGCCTTTCCTCTGGACCAGCAGATGGCGTAATGGTTCTGTGGTTCTGTTGCTGGACTCCTATGTAGTCAACCACAGTCTGAGTCCAGGATCCAGCAGCTTAAAACTCAAGCTGGGTGCATGTGCATGCATGCCCAAAATCCTGAGGGAGAATAGAGAAGGGATTGGCATGTGGCTATCCTCATAGGGGGTGATTTCTCACTTTCTATCTCTCTGTCTCTCTCTCTCTCTGTGTCTCTCTGGCAAGTGCACACACCCTATAGCAAAAATCTCTTTCAAAAAAAAAAAAAAAGAAAAGAAAAAGAAAAAAAGAAAGAAAGCCTTTTCTCAGGACCAGCAGGTGGTGTAGTAGTTAAGGCACTGGACTCCCACATGGTTAAGAGTGGTTCAAGTCTTGGATCCAGAAGCTTGAAACTCATGCAGGGCACATGTGTATGCATGACCAAAATCCCAAAGAATAGTGGAACAGCTATTCCTCCTGAGGGGTGATT